ATCGCTGGTCCTTGTTTGCACTTTTATGTGGTCAACATTTCATTCACTAAATTTCCACGTGTGTTGACTTACGATTCAGCAAAAGGTCCAAGTAACAGACATCCAACGAGGATGCCAGCCATCAGCACTGTCTGCGCAATGCTCAACAAATGAGCCTGTTCACAAACTAGATCAAACTGGGCAAAAAAGAAAAACCCAAAACAAAACAAATCAATTAGAGATATATTGGAACTTACTGAGTGAAAGAGATTTATCACTTACATCAGTAACTATGGTGGATTCATACAGCATGCTGCCATAAACCCATCCGTCCCTGCAGCCTGTTGTCTCATTGAGTCCATATGCCCTGATATCCTGGATGTCCCAGTCCACAGGGACGAACATCCGACACCGGCTGAAGCTCCCATCCTCCTCCCGGGGCACCGTGAGGTTCAGCTGCTCCTCTGTGGTCAGGTTAGCAGCTCTGAGGATCCAGTCCGTGTTGCAGTGCCGCTCCGGGTCGGACTGGGTGAAAATTACGCTCGCAAAGTGGAAAGGCGAGATGAGATTTGGGAAGCAAAGAGCAAAGAGGATGGTTTTCTGAAACAATCCAAACTCTCCTATGTTACGCAGGATTTCCCCAAAATCAGCCATGGTCAGGGCGCAGACTTGCACTTCGGTGATGCTGCAAGGGAATGACCTTTAAACAAAGAGCCCATTAATGTTTAAACCCATGCAAGCATGATTCAGGAAAGATGAGATGGCGCTTTCACTTAGAAGCAGCATTCCTGATACATTTTATTTTATTCTATTTTAACCAGATTTGTATCATCCTGGCGTCTCTCACTGGATGCCATCCTAAAATCATTTTTGGTTTTACAGAGCTGGGTTTTCTGAACAAATCATTAAGCAATAGACCCTTTTCACATGACGTCACACAACCTCCGTTTTGGCTCGAAGCTGTGTATCCTNCGGCACACTAGTGTGCCGCGGAACAGTGGTTGAAAAACACTGCTCTAGAAACTAGGATCTATTAGCTCCTCTTGGGATGCCACGATAGAGCCCTCTAGTGTCCATTTTGGAAATGACAGATGCTTGTTGCTTGAATTATTTCCAAATTTCTCATCACTGGTATGTATGTCTACCACATTACATCCTGGACAGTTGAATTCCTTATTATTTTTCTCAGAGTCTGTTTAGGAGAAAAAAAAAACAAAAACAAAAAAAACTTTACTTAGGATGACGCCGTTCAGTCGATAGCCTCCATATCCAATTCCCGCCACGAACTGGGAGGCCAAATATAAAGGGTAGGTCGGACATAACCCAGTTGTTACAGAGAAGACGAGCATCAGAACTACTGGGATCTGAGCCGCTCGTTTACGGCCAAACCTGAAACACACAGTATTAAAATGTAGATGGAAGCAGGCACGTGC